AAGTATCAGGTAAGGTGAATATGTCCTTATAATTTATTTGCACAAACTCCCACACAGAAAAGGTTTGTTAAACTGCTTAAAAGAAATATCCATCCACACCCATCTTTAAAAACTAGGAAAAGTCCAGTTTAGATCCTTCTTTAACTGCTAACATTAATTTACCATTTTCAATCACAGACTGCACCCCATATACTCCAAAATTGTACAGAGCAGCATCCAATCATAATACAAAACCTCAGTGCTTTCTGACCTCAGCAACATCAACATGTCTGTTAGACATCTATGCACTGGGGAATTACATTATATTTTCCCCACAGGAAAGTATATCAGAGATAATAGGAAGAAGGTGGAAAAGTGATATGAGGTAGATTTGACAAAGTAAAAATGTTCAGTAACCAGTGAAATATGGTAGTGAGATAAGAAGAAAAAATTAACATAATGCCACTGGGCAACAAGCAATAGCATGGGTAAAAGTTAGGAAAAGGTCCTGCTCACTTCCATTCACATCCTGCTCTCTCTGCCTTGTAACTGTAATTGTAAATGCCTCTGCATTATAATCTAATCTATCTATCTAGGGTTTGTTTGTTTGTTTTTGCAGGCTCAATAATAAAAATTATGTATAGTTGTCTCTATTCTTTATTGGACCTAAACAGAATAGAAACACAAATAAGGTGCTTTGAACATTCTTTCCAGGGGTACATCAATTCATCAAGATATTTGCCTAGTTTTACAACCGGCTACATAAAAAGCACTAGCAAATTCAGTACAAACTAAAATGTCATGCAATGACTTATTCATACTGCTCTATATCCTATACACTGAAATGTCAGTATAATAATTATAAAATCAACTAGAATATGAATATATGATAAAAAAAAGTGAGAAAGTAAGCAATTTTTCAGTCATAGTGTGCTGTGACACTTTTGTATTTTTATGTCTGATTTTGTAAGCAAGTAGTTTTTAAGTGAGGTGAAATTTGTGGGTACACAAGACAAATCAGACTCCTGAAAGGGGTACAGTTGTCTGGAAAGGTTGAGAGCTGTTGCACTAGATGATGTGATGATTAATATGTTCCTATTTGAATGTAATTGATTTTTTTACCATAATCACACCAAATTTGCAAATATGTTCTAACACTTATACCTTGACTCATGTTGTTTTGAGGGGAAGAGATTCTGAATGGCATGAGTGAAACAGAAGTGTAATGGTGTAATGTTATCTATAAGCATTTCTAAAATTCCCACTACCCCAGACTTAAGTGCCACTACAAAATTATGTATGATAAATTTTAGCCAAAATAGGACTGAAATCCTCAGCCCTACCGTCTCAGAGAGTGCTGCTAGAGTTTTCTACCACTTCATTATTTGGGATGTGCCTTCATACAGAGATGAGTTTTGCAGGATATCTTAAGCATGGATCAAGTTGGGCTCAGCCTGATCTCTGTTAGTAAGGAGTTTTGTAGCTTTGGGCATTACTGAAAGTTCCGTCCTCTACCTCTTACCCAATTGATCTCTCTGTGTGATGCTAAATCTGATCTGTACAGGACTTACACTGCATTTTAGAATCTCAGAAAGGGTTGTTCAGGCCTGTAGTGAGTCGGTGTGGCTCCCCGCCGCCCCGGAGGCCGGAGTGGGCGGAGCTAGGGAACTCTGAGCCTGCCCCTCAGGGGGTCAGGCGGTGACCCGGAAGTACAAAGGCTCGCCCTCAGAACTCAGTCAGGCCCCAGCCACCGGAGAGACCACACGTCTCCAGCCTAGCTCGTGGCTGGGAAACCTCCGCGGCCCGGAGCGGCCACCAGGAACCGCCGGGCCTGCCCTGCGCCCGCTACCCGGAGGAGCCGCCGGGCCTGCCCTGCGCCCGCTATCTGGAGGCGCTGCCGGACTTGCCGAACGATCCCTGGCCGGACGAACCCATGGTCCAGAATCTCCCCGAGGGCTGACACCAGCCCCCAGGTAGGTCCAGAGGGGGAGTGTGGAAGTAGCCCGGGGGCAGCCGACCCAAGTCTGGTTGCAGCACTGCCAGAGCCTATGTCAGTGTGTTGCGGCCAGGATCCCCACTGACCAAGCAGCGGGCCTTCTGCCGCTGCTAGGGCCCAGGGCTGGGATGCAGTGGAGTGGGAGGGCCTGCGTTCCCCCTGCCACCCAATCCGTGGGTGGCAGTCTCCCCGTTTCCCAGGCCTGTGGAGGCTTAGGCCTACTACTGTTGCTCAGCCCTGACTGAGGGCCTGAGCTCTTGACTCAGTGTTTGTTGCCCTGCCCTGACCTAGGGCCTGGGCTTAAATACTTTGCTTACTGTTGCTCAGACCTGACTGAGGGCCTGAGCCCTGACATAACGTTGGTGCCCGCCCTGAGCCAGGGTCGGGCTGACGGTATCTTTTCAGGATTACAAGGGCTGTCGGGGGAGACCCTGCAGCCAGACAGAGTACCCTAGCCCCAGTGGGTAGTGAGTCGGTGTGGCTCCCCGCCGCCCCGGAGAGGGTCGAGCCCCGGCAAACACTTGTACAAGGCCATACTCCAGAAAGTGACATATTGATATCCATGGAGGGAATAAAAAATTCTCACCACTCTTGAATGTATGGCTTATACTGTGATTCTTATAATCTAGGAGTACTGCCTCCTAGTTCCCTCTGCTGTAGCCACAGGTTTCTATGTCAAAATCTCCGACTCCAGGCACATGGTGTGCATACGTAGGCCTCAGTGGAATGCCTCAGTGGAATACAACAGGGACCATCACTTGAAGAAATACCACTTATTTAAAGATGCACAAAGAAACAGGACAAAATAACCGAATATAAAAACCATCATCTTCCCTCTCCACCCAACTCCTTGTGTTCCACACCCACCTGTCACATCTTGCCTCCATTTATACTGTAAGCTCACTGGGGAAAGAATGGTCTTATTTTATGTTTCTACAGTATGCAGCATACTGGGGTCCCAATCCTGGTTGGGGTCTGGGTGCAAGTGCAATACAAATAATAATCATAAAGGGGGGACGCAAGCCCAACTAGTTTGGGTATGTTTGTTTAGGAGGTCCAGAACCTTCCATCTAAACATTTAAAAGCACTTTATAAATATTGATTCTCACAGCCACTGTGTGAGCTGTAGTTATAGTAAGAATCGTCATCCCATTTTACAAATGGGAAAACAGAGAGAGAGAGAATTAATCCAAGGTCACACAGAAAAAGGGAGAGCATCAAGTACCCAGATGCCATGACTATGCCCCTCCTCTAAACCCTAGCCCATGCTCCCAAAGAGCATTGTCAGAACTAGAGTTGTGAGGATGGGTAGGGAGTGATGGGGCAGGTCTGAACCAGCCAGGAGGTATTTAGAGCAGATAGTACTATGGATCAGAACCAGGATGCATTGGAAGAATTGAGTTTCTTGATGAGGGCAAGAAAGACACATCCTGCACAGAATATCTGGCGAGGTTTTGGTAGAGTTTTAACTTTTTTATTATGACTTACCTCCCGCTTTCCCGTGAAGAGCGGCCAACCGAGTGACACTGATTCAGGAAGGATGGCTATCAGACATCACAGGAGAGAAAAATCAACAGGATTAGGATGGTAGTTCTAGTCTCAGGTTAGGTCAGGCCCCGGACAAGTATTTTCCCTCTCCCTCAAGTTGATCGCCTCACTGTCTAACAAACAAACAAAAAATCAGTCTGTGATATGTTGGAGGCAGTCCTGCAGTTAAGACCATTTGAGTTTCAAAGTGAGAAGAGCAGCGTATTTTTGATACTGGCTTTTATTTGAGGGGATGGGGGTAAAAAGTGGTGTCAGTTACAGTGCAAACTGCATTTTAGACCCCTTTTAGTCCCTCTCACATGCATCCCTGTGGGGCTAGACCATGCTGCCTTCACCCCAGTCTGGGCAGCATCATGCAGTTCAACCCCTCTGGGACTGAATCTCTGAAGGACAGACTCCAACCATGTTAATGTGACAGGCCAAAATAATTTTGGCACCTGTAAATTACTGTTGCAAGCTCCTGAAGGGTTTGCTGTGTCACAGAAACAGCATCTTCAAAACAAACCATCATTCACCTATACGTATAAAGCACATAGAGCAAAATGTAAAAATAGTAAGGGTCTCTATGCATATTTCTCCATAGCTAACCCTTAGAATTTCCTTGCAAGCTTTAGTATGTTTCATCTGCCCAGTTACCTCCATCTCTGAATTTGGACAAGCAGACTGTCCTTCTCGCAGCATTCTCTCTTTCTGTGTCTCCCCTTCTCTGTCTGTCAACACACACTGATGCTGGGCAGTCATGCTTGGCACTCCCAACCCCACCTCCTTTTTCTAGGCTCAGGGTCCTGTATCGGTTTAGTATCTTCCTTGGAAGATGCAGATTAGCCTACCCATGCTAGCTTGAATCTAGTGTGGGTAACAATAGCAGTGAAGACAGCACAGCATAGGCTTCAGAGCAGGGAAGTGACCAGGGACCATGCAGAGCTTGTACTAACCATGCTGAAACCTGTGCTGTGCTGTCTTCACTGCTATTGCTACCCACAGTAGCTGGATTCAAGATAGCTGCACAGCTTTTGCTGTGTTGACATATCCACTGTTAACTAGTGATACCTGTATTTCTGAACTTTGATAAAAGTTTTTATACTAAAATTTGAAGCAAATCTGGCAAACTTGGATGCCTCTAATTCAGCAGCTAGAAAGAGTGGCCTGATTTACAGTTCCCATTGATGTCAGTTTGAGCTGTTGGTGCTCTAGCATGCCTGAAAACTTAGTCCATGTTTAGTACAGGTGCCTGAATACAGTTGTAGGTACTTAAATTTGAAAAAAAAAGTCGCTATAGTCGATAGGCCAGTTCCTTAACCCCTGGTTATAGAGGAAAGAGGTATTTTCAAACTAAGTAATAATAAAGTTAGAATTGAAGAGCGGGAATTCATGATGTTTCATGCTAGGGGATTAACAAGAACTACTGAAATTAAAATATTTGCAGTAAATACATAAAATATTAAAAAGAAAAAACACTGCCTTGAAAAAAAAACCCTATTTTTAAATGAATTCATTTTATTTTAAAAAGATTATGTTCTCAAAACTAAGAATTTGACATATTTTAAGTCAGCAACATGATTACAAACAAATAATTTTGTATTTTGAAGTACTGAGTGGTTACAGTCTTCTTATTTTTCTATAAAGAACTTGCTCTGAGCTCTTCTGGCTTTTTCAAGGCTTTCAAAAGTGAGGGCTCCTTTTGGCATTTCTAGCAAGGTGTTCTCTGTGTCAAGTATGTTCTCTGCTTCACCTTTTAAAAAAAAAAAAAAAAAAAAAAAAAAAAATGCATCTTTGCACTTTTATAAGAACAAAAAAAACGTTTTCAGAGAAATTGCATATATTTTGTTTGAGGGCTTGAATAACTAAAGAATATTAGATATTTACTCAAATAATTATAACTGGGGCTGGTAGTACCACTTTACTTTTAAGGTTGCCCAACACTTTTCATTATAAGACCCTGTTTTCAGTTATTTAGAATTTTGCCAAATGTTTGGGCTGAAATTTTCCATGCCATGTGTCTGCCTTAGGCTAAATTTGTTTGGAAAATTTCATTCATTTCCAAGAACAAGGCTAAGGAAAAATGTTTTTTTGCCCATGTTAAAAAATTCTGGCAACTTTTTCTTTGAGAAGCTTTAGTGCCCCCATGTTTTGGAGCAAGGACATGAAATTTAGCAGATGTCCTTTGTGTCAGGGATATGCTTTTCCCATTCCCAGGAAAATTCTCCCAAATTTGGCTAAATTATAAGCCTTTGAAAAACGGCAGTTTGCACACGCTCAACAAAGATGTGCTAGAGTTTCTCAGCTAAATTTCTTTACGATTCTGTTCATATTGAACATGCTCCATCCCAGGACTGAGTAGGACTTTCCATGCAGGTATGGCTCTGTCCCACTGTGGGCCAGGCTCCAAAACAGAGAACAGGGATACTGTCTCTCCTGTACTCTCAGTTGACTCCCACCCCATCCCGACAGGCCAGGCTGAGTGGAGGAGTAAGCTGCTTGATCTGAATACAGAGGAGACAAGGGCCAGACCTGTAGTGGGGGGTAAATTGGAAAATGGAACCAGGGGAGGGGAGGCACAGATCTAACTCCAGGCTGATGGCAGGGAGTGGGGAGTGAAACAGGGAGCCAATACATCACTGGGGGTAGACTGGGATGAAATAAAGAGCTGGTGGCAGGGAGACAGACAAGAAGAGGAGTGAGAGAACAGGGGATAAAAACTGGTAGCAGAAGATAGGGGGATGAAGATTGGGAACCAACACAAGGAGGGGCAGACTGGGATAGGATGAGGAGCTAGTGGGGGGACAGACCGGCTGCACAAGGAGAAGAGTTGGGGGGAAACAGACTGAACAAGAAGCTGGGGAGGGAGATTGATTGGTAGGCACTGAGGACAGAAAAAGTGGGAATGTGTTCAGCAAGACAGACAGACTGAACAAGGAGCTGGGAAGTGGGGTTGGGGATGGAGACTGACCAATCAAGTAAAATGTGGATAGGGAGATAGAGGGGACTGGGCGAGGAGATAGGGACTGGAACAAAAAGAGTCCAGAGGCTGAGAACTGGACATGCTGGGCAATGAGGCTGGGATGAGAAGCCTGAGGAGTGGTGACAGGGACAGGAGCCAGGGGTGGGGAAGAGACAGAATTTTGACTGGGACAAATTGGAAGGGACAGGGCAGAAGAATCTGTTTCCATTGAGAATGCTCTTCTCCAGAACCTGGAATGGATACCAAGATTCCTAAGTGTCTGCAGTCAGCAAACACAGTGAAACTCACTGGCAACATGTCCAGTCCCCCCTCTAGGGCAATTCCACATAAAGGATGATAACCTATCACTGCTTGCATTTACTCAGTTAGCTCAAGTGACAGATCTCTGTGCACTAGGTTTAAAGGTTCCAATCGGGCTGATGACCCATGTGGGTGTCAATGATGCCACATGATAGAATTTCTGTTTTCAGTTTGCTTTTTTAAAAATCTAGGAAGTTGCACACAAAACACTATGTAAAAAGAATATTAAGATTGCAAAATCAAGTGCTCAAAAGTTAAAAAAAAATACTAGAATTAAGGAATCTTAATTCAGCTCCCATGTGCCTAATACAGTCTTTAATTACACCATCGTACTATTTTTTCCCACAGACCACTGCCTCATTCAGTGCACAAGATGGACAATGCTCAGTTAATGACAAGCTATTTAATATTTTGTTTATCCTCATTGTTCACTGTGTGGCTTTAGGCCTTATTTACTGCACATTATTTACTGCTCTAAAGACAAAACTATTGATTCTGTGTTGGAGATCATGTATGACTGTCATAATTTATATGTACAAGGGGGCCAAATTAAGGTTGAATAGGCAATCTTAATTCTGTTTTTTTCCTAACTTTTGAGTGCTTGACTGTGGAACTTTAACAATGTCCTTTTAACATAGTTTTGTGTGCAATTACATATATGCTCAATGCTGTATAACATTTGAAAATAAATCTTATAGCTGAGTATTTTGTATTTTATATTTTCCATTAGAGGTTATTGCACCTGCCTCTCATCTGTGCTTAACAGAAAGTTATCTGGACTGATCATTACTTTGATTCAAGGGCTGCATATACTAAGGACAAGCCATATTCTGAATCCAGCTCTAAATATACACTAATAGCTCCTCATTGTCCTTTTTCTATAGTGTAGAAAAAGAGACCAACCATATGCAATGTTACTTTCAATTGTTACTTTTGATAGGCTCTATCATCAGGTATTTCTCTAGGATGCACATGATTAAGACTAACTTCCTGGGGAAGTGCACCAGTAAATTTCACTTACATTCGTACATAGGGTGACTGTTTTATTACATTTCAAAACAGAAGCTGTCCATCTGTATTTACATTCCAATTAAATATTAATTATGATTTTTCTCTTGATTTTCTCAAATTTTGTATTTACTTAAGACAACCTGAATTGGCGGTGAAGGCTATTAGGATGGAATACTCTCTGCTGGGGAAGCTCAGACAGAAGGAAACAATTCTGACTTTAAGGGAGACAGAAATGAAGGAGTTGCAAAAGGGACTGGCATGGCACATTGTGGTCAAGAACAAGGTAGTCCAAATGGTGCTAGGCTTGGTTACAAATCTCAACAACTTCCATATACATACCCTTCATCCTTTGCAAAAGCGTTCCATAGCCCATATCATACTGGTAGGCAAGTATAAAGCTTAAGGGAACCATTGGAAGGAACAGTCCTGGTTTCTTGTTTTTTATTGCTCTGTTCATAAAAAAAAAAAAAGGGGAGGGGAATAACTAAGTTTTGTAAGATCAGCAGCAGCCTAAAAGCTTCACTAATCATACAGAAGGTATTTAGCTACTCTAGAGACAGAGCCAAATATGTTTCAGAAGACTATTAACCTGTTTTATGCACATTTTAAGAAACATTTATTTAACGAACAAACAAAACAAAACAAACATTGAAATGAAAGACCTTTCTTGTGCTCCAGAAAAGTTTAAAGTGCTACTAACTACTGGTTCAGCATGCGTGTGTTTCGGAACAAAAAGAGTCTGATGTTCACAATACAGGCTATTTATTACTGTAGTGAGTCGGTGGGGTTCCCTGTCGCCCCGGATGGGGAAGAGCCCATCCGGAGGCCGCAGTGGGTGGAACCAGGGAGCTCTGAGCCCGCCCCTCAGGGGGTCAGGCGGCGACCCGGAAGCATAAAGGCTGGCCCTCAGAACTCAGTCAGGCCCCAGCCACCGAAGAAACCAGACGTCTCCAGCCTAGCTCGGGGCTGGGAAACCTCCGCGGCCCTGCGCCCGCTACCCAGAGGAGCCGCCGGGCCTGCCCTGCGCCCGCTACCCAGAGGAGTTGCCGGACTTGCCGAATGACGCCTGGCCTGACGAACCCATGGTCCAGGATCCCCCCCGAGGCCGACACCAGCCCCCAGGTAGGCCCAGAGGGGGACAGTGGAAGTAGCCCGGGGGCAGCTGACCCCAGTCTGGCTGCAGCATTGCCAGAGCCTATGTCAGTGTGTTGCGGCCAGGATCCCCACTGACAGCAGCGAGTTTCCGCCGCTGCTAGGGCCCCGGGCTGGGACTCCTAACCTCTGAAGTGTGGATTTACCTTAGCTCTCAAAAACCTGTTCGTCTGACCCTTCTTGAGGTGGCATGAGTCTTAATCCCTACTGGCTGCCTTGAACTTCCCTCCCCACAGGGACAGAGTCACTCCTGGGAAAACCTGTCTGGCAGGCCTAGCAGGAGGTCAAGCAGAGTATCAAAATGAATTACTCTTGTTTTGTCTCAAGTGTACGCTGGAAAGTGTACATATGGTTCCACTTTCTTCTCATTTCCTGCGTACATTTCCTGACAATCCCAGTATTGAATTAACTCAATATATGCATACAGTAGACATCACAATAGCCTGTCAAGATAAAGTAAACCCCCTTACACACAAAACCTATAGAAATATAGCATTCACAAATTATTAGACAGCACCAGATCCACCACACATGTAGAATATAAGACACACATAGGTGTGCATTAAATGTATACCTTACACACAGTCATTTCCTATGCACTTTAGAGTTTTTTGAGAATATATATACATTGTTCAGTGACTTATATTTTTTAGTCATCCAGAGAACCTAGGTAGGGCTGTTTGGCAATAGACAGTCATCTTATTAAGTCATAGTACAGGAAAGAAAGTGGTACAAACTTTGTAAGCAATGATTTTATGCTGAATTTGACAGAGGAGCCTACCTATAGAATCAAGTGCAAAATACCAACTTGAACAGAAATACGTCCATTTTACAAAGTCACTTTTCAGTTTACAAATGAAAAAATGTTAGTTGCCAGGAAGAAAAAAAAAAGTTCTGACTAATGAGCAATAAAGATTCTGCAATCTGACTTGAGATGATACTTTTGACGATACAGGAGGTAAAACAGTACAGGAAGGGAGAGTGATATAGAATTAGTACAAAAGCTGTTAATCAGCAGTCCTAAATTCTAACTTCGTTTTGCCACTAATTCTTGATGTAACCTTGGGCACAGTATAACCTTTATGTCTCAATCTCCCCTTATGTAAAATGGGAATACTGTTACTTACCACCCATTTCATAGCAGAGTTGTGAGGGATAAGTCTGTTCAGCACTTTGAATATGTAAAGAACTATATAAAATCTTAAATTTTATAAGAATATGGCTATCTCCTCTGCAGATATATTTGCCTTTCAGTATTAACAGCAAAAATACCAAACACAACTTGATTTGGTCACTGAAGTAAGCAGATATGATATACAGGGAGCTGAAGGAAATGCCATTTCTACTTCTCTGATCAGAAACACACACTTCAAAATAATTACTTAAGAATAGGCTTGGAAGGATTAGATTTTTTAAATCAGTAAATGTCAGTACTTCACCGTACACAGAAAAATGAGAAAAAAATAATTTCATCAATAAGTAATTGAAATTTACAGATAAGCAAAGTAAGAAAAATGCTGTTTGAGAATTCAGAGTTTGATTTAAGGATATTTACTTTGTATATTTTGGCATGTGATGTTGACAATCTGTGTTTTAACTGATACAAAGCTTTAACTTTTTGAATCTCAATGTTTACTGTCATTAAATACTTACTGGCTGACCTCCCCCATAATTTCCCACAATTGTGAAAATTTAAATAGATAAAAATAGGAAAAAAATACTTAAACACTGATATCTGTAGAAATATATATTAAATATATATATTAAAAAAATCAAATTCTGACAAGCCTACTTAAGAACAGGCAAGAGAAAGACAATGACCACTGAGGAATTACTACAACTAATTTACTTGAATTTTCTAGTACATAACGAACTTCATACCCAGCAGTTAGACCTACAGCAGCAAGTCCAAAAAATATTCCAAAATATTTGAGGAATTCCCTTGTCCAAGCAATCTGCATAGCCATCTGTCTCTCTCGCATTTGACTCTGCATCAGTATCTGTCTTTCCAGCTGAGGGTAGGTGAAAAAGAAAAGGAAAATTAGATAAAACAAAGTAATTCATAATCTGAAAGTTTGAGCAGATCTTTCAATCAATCAACACACAACTCTAGTGAGAAGTTTTTGGTCTTCATCTCTTTCCAGGCAATTATTAACACTATTATGTTGAGATAAGTCTTCTCTAATAATTCATATTGTTAGAACAGTTTATACCAGTATTCCTACGATAAAGGATTTTCTAGATTAGCAAATATCAGAAGAAAGCATGCCCCCCCCCATCACCGTGCCTTTGCAGGTCACAACTGAGAATACCAAATTCAGGACAAACTGCTGAGAAATAGGGCAGATAAAAGGGAGAATAACTGCCAGTTTTCAGGTGTAAGATATACCAAATCAGCAACAAAAATAAACTTCTGTTTCACCACACTGGCTAACAAGAAGTCAGAACAGCAGTTTCCTTAGTCATTCCAGTCCTGTATCACCACCAAAAACACTAGACTTTAACATGAGTGGTTCTTTACAACCAAGTTCATCAAATGAAAGGTTCTTCTGATCCCACAGGATCAGCCACTCACCCAGGTCAATATATAACTCAGATCTTACCCAATAATCACACTGTTGCCAATCCTTTAGTATCTAAAATCTAAAGGTTTATTTATAAAAAGAAAGAAAGGTGAGAGTTACAATTGGTTAAAGGAATCAAATACATACAACAATTGTAAAGTTCTTGGTTCACACTTGTAGCAGTGCTGGAATAAACTACTGGCTTAAGTCAAGTCTCTGGTTGCTTCCAAACCATTGGAAGGTCCTCAGTCCCTTGGTTAGAATGCTCCCATTAGTATAAGTCCATAGTCCAGAGGTTTGAGCAGGAAAGAGGCAAAAATTAAGATGTTTCTATGGCCTTTTATGGCTTTTACCAAGTGGAGGGAAACCCATTGTCTTCAGACAAAGGCCTCAGCTCAGCTAGTGGAAAATCACAGGTAAAAGATGGAGTTTGGAGTCACATGAGCAAGTCACAGGACCATGCATGACTTCGCTTAGTCATAGCAGGAAATTCCATTAAGAGTAGAAAGGCATCTTCCATTGTGAGTTAAGTGTTCTTTAATGGGCCATGGTATTCAAATACAGCTCTACCCCGATATAACGCTGTCCTCGGGAGCCAAAAAAAGTCTTGCCGCGTTATAGGTGAAACCGCGTTACATAGAACTTGCTTTGATCCGCTGGAGCACGGAGCCCGGCCCCCTCCCCCCCCGAGCGCTGCTTTACCGCGTTATATCCGAATTCGTGTTATATCAGGTCGCGTTATATCGGGGTAGAGGTGTAGTTCCTTCACAATGTGCTGGCTAAACACCTTGTTGGTGCTACCCAGAAGCAAAAACCTTAGAAATAGGTTTCAGAGTGGTAGCCGTGTTAGTCTGTATCAGCAAAAAGAATGAGGAGTACTTGTGGCACCTTAGAGACTAACAAATTTATTTGAACATAAGCTTTCATGGGCTAAAACCCACTTCATCGGATGCATGCAGTGGAAAAATACAGTAGGAAGATATATATACACTCAGAGGACATGAAAAAATGGGTGTTACTATACTAACTATAATGAGAGTAATCAGTTACGGTGGGCTATTATCAGCTATTACCTGCACTGAGGTAAAGGTATGCAGTATGTCCAGGAGCTTGTGATGGAAGTCCTGGACTTCTTCCAGAATTTGCAGGGTGTCATCAACCCACTTCATCAGGTCCTGGAATTGCCTAAAGTCATCAGCTAATGATGGCAGAGGTGGCATTACTGCCTCATCAGGTGACAACGATGAGATATTTGTAAGATGGGGTAACCTCCTTGTCTACTCTTGCCCTTCAAAGGTCTCTTTGGGCTCAGAGTGGGGAGGAGAGATACATGGTATCGGGGAACAAGATCTTCTGTGTTCCCTGTGGCATGTAGTTGACGCCGCTCAAAATTGCTGGAAGAACATTGCCCATAGATCCCAGTAAGGCCAATGAGAGAGACCATATGGCATGGGGGGAGGAGGGAGGTATCCAGTGTTAGTCATCCCAAATGTTGGCAGGCAGGGGTCTGATGTCCTGCCTTTGTTGCATCTGCAATGGGAAATAATGTCTCCTGGAATAAATTGGAGAGCCTTGAACAGAAAGTCCCGAGTCTGATGAGTCAGAATGCTGTCCAACATATTGTATCAGAGGGGACAATCCCTCCTCCTGGATAGCAGAAGATAGAGAAAAGAGGTAGGTCTCACGGAAACATGTCAGCAGTCGGTGACCTGACTTCTGTACCAAGAGGTGTCCAGAGGTCGCCAGGAGTGAAGATTCAGGTTCATTTGGTACCAAAAGGTCTTTCTGTTGTGCGAGGCACTGACGTCAGTACTGAATGGGTTGAGGATTCCATTGAAACCAGTCCCTGGACAATAGTAGTCTTCAGTACCGAGCCCTTTACTGCTGAGGTATGGGACTTAGTTGGAAGTCTTAGTGTGCTTCACGGTATCTGAAGTACTCGGAGCCTCACTAGTAGTCCTCTTGAGGCCTGAGATGTCTGGTGACTGGATATTCTTTAATGAAGACCTCTCTAGTCTGCTCCTCTTATCGCCTTCCTTATTCTTTTCAGTGGGACACTCTCGCTATCAGCAACACTGTTATTGGTACCTCACTCTGGGAGTATTGGAGATGGGGTTTCAATGCTGTCTTCATTTTGGAAGCTCTTGGTGACCGTGATCTCGATGATGACAGGGTACTGACAGAAGGGGTGGGGGGTCTCTGCCCTCAGGTCAGAGGCCAGTCTCAAAACTTGCTCCACCATTAAGAGGTAGTACTTTATTTCCCTGTTCTTCTGGGATCTTCCTTTAAAAGAAGAGCCGGTCTTACACTTGCTAGGAACATGAGTGTCTCCCAAACAACGAATGTACTGGGAGTGCCTGTCACTAACAGAGATTGCTTCTTGACAAGACAGGCCAAGCCTAGGGCAGTGGCTCTCACCCATTCCAGACTACTGTACCCCTTTCAGGCATCTGATTTGTCTTGCGTACCCCCAAGTTTCACCACACTTAAACTACTTGCTTAAAAATCAGACATAAAAATACAGAAGTGTCACAGCACACTATTACCGAAAAATTGCTTACTTTCTCGTTTTTTACCAAAGAATTATAAAATAAATCAATTGGAATATAAATATTATACTTACATTTCTGTGTATAGTATATGGAGCAGTATAAACAAGTCATTGGCTGTATGAAATTTTGGTTTGTACTGACTTCGCTAGTGATTTTTATGTAGCCTATTGTAAAACTAGGTAAATATCTAGATGAGTTGATGTACCCCCTAGAAGACCTCTGAGTACTCCCAAGGCTACAGGTACCCCTGGTTGAGAACCACTGGCCTAGGGAGCCTGGCAACCCTGACAGAAGAAAATTGTTCAAGCTTCTCAATAGGGGAAAAAGAAAAACAAAAATGTGTGTGTGTGTGTGTGTATGCGTATGTATATTTTAAGAAAATCGGGGAAAACACAAATTCCAACAACTATAAGGTACTAAATCTACTACTGCTGAGAACTAACTATAAAAACTAAAACACTAATACAAGAGGGAACATGAACAGGCATACAGTAAACTCCATCTCTGGCTGAAGATGGTTGAGAAGGAACTGAGAGTGGTTCTCCTATGCAGCCCTATATAGCCTCAGTACAGGGCACAAGGACATGTAGGGTGCACGCATGGGTGGAATGAGCACTGCTACCAAAAATCTCTGCTCAAAGGCACCAGAGTGCATGCGCACCTAAAGTTGAGCACCCGCAAGGACACTACTCAAAGAAGAATGACACCTTCTGGAGAGAGACAAAAAAGTATTAAGAACACAGAGTAAGTGTACAGAATGTTCCCTTGTTATGCATCTAGTATATTAGATGTACTATTTTTACCTACTGTCTAATGTGAGAATGTTTTTATACTTTTGTAAGTGGTTTCCCACCCATTTAGTTATCTACATCACTATGGATGTAACTTGAACAGAACAATTTAAGTTAAATTGTTACTGATTATTTCCTTCAGACTATGCTGATCTTGCCATCCTATTTATAAACAGGTAAGATACCAGATGAGTAGAATTAATTTGTTAAAGATAATAAGGGACAGATTTAATTAAATTTAATTGTACATAGGAAAAGCTCCATTCAGTAAAGTCTCAGCAAATTGTTACATCTGGAGAGTAAAAGTCTGGAAAAAGAATAATTCTTATTACAAATATCATCAACATCCATTAATTTTCCGGACAGCCATAATTTTCAGATCACTTTAATTTCAGAAGAGGTAATTATGTAGTGGCTCATAAACTACTTAATAAAATATCAAAATAATTAGATTTAATTTGGTCACTCATGAGACATTTGCAACCTGAGGTAAGCAGCAACACTGCTTGTTAATTAGCTCCATTGTGGACCCTAATATCAGAGGTTTGGCAAACTGTTGAGGGCTGAAATGACTAAGACAAAATTATATATAAAATATCAATATAATTACCTCTATTTTCCTCTCAATTTGGTTATTGGTGCACAACACACACTGATGTGGAAAATATAGACGTGCCTTTTTGTTTGCTTGAATAACAATAAATAATCTGTGCTCCTAAAATGCATAGTTCTATAAATGAGTCTTTGATTTGGGGTGGTGGGAGAAGGGAAGAGGATATGATGCATGAACATCTGTTGAAGGCGTCAGAAACAGAAGTTTGCTAAAGAGTAGTTACTGGAAAAGCAAGTACAATCTAATTTGCAACAGTTAGTCACAAGCAAGCGAATAAAAGATTGAAAATTTTAGTACAAAAAGTAAACCAGATAGGATATTAACACTACTTTTAAAGATAAAAGTTATACTTTGATGGTGCATTGTAATCCACGTACCAAAAGGAGGAAAACCAGTTACTGAATTACAGGCACAAAAGGTCAGATGAACACATCTCTATAAATCTGCCATGTCAAGTTTCAGAAGCCCAGAGTTATTTTTTGAGTTTACAAG